TTGAAAATACTGACATCCTGAGTTTAAAGGACTTAGCATTTAAGTAAGTATTAGTCTGTTAAATGTGAGCTTTCCTTTTGCAGGCATTTGGGTATGCCTCATTTTTCCAACGAGTCAGTGTTTTTGTCGTTGTTGTTAAATTAAAAAGGAGCTATATCAAATATTTAGTGGAAAAGTGTTACTAAGTGGCAGAGTCAGGTCCAAACCCAGCAGCAATTCTCAGGACAACCTCGGGTCTCAGTCTCCGCCTTCTTTTGTCTCTGCTTTCACAGATCTATCAAACAAGTCCAACAAAAGTGGAAAAATAAATAAAAATACAAACAAGAGCCTATCAGTACAGACAGGGACTTCACAAACAGCAAAAGGCTCCACGTTCTGAAGAACAAAAGAGGAAGAGCACCTTCAAGGAAGAACAAGGCCTTTCCTTTGTCTTTCATTTCTTCATAGCTCTGTCTCTAGCTTCACAGTGCACACTGCTGGTTTATTATAAACCTATTTCTTGGAAAGACGACACACAGTCACACCTACTAATGGAAAGAATGTATCTGACAGGCAAACACCCATCTAAGTCTGAGCCCCTTAAATATGATGGCTTCAGTATCCTTAAAGGTTTGACACACACCCTTCATGGAAAACCCCCCACAGAGGTTATTTTTAACTTAATGAAGTATGGTAATAGTAGAGCAACCCAATTTAGAAGGAATTGCACCTGACAAGAAAAAGTAACGGCTGTGTCTATGAAGACATTATTCAGTTATTTCTCATCTCATCGGATAATAATCTCATATGAAACTTCGAATCATGTTAAAACCAAACATTTCTTCCCATCAATCTTAGGAAAAAGCCAAACACTTCCCATGACTGGTGAAGCTCTGCAGAAGACTGCCCACTTCTCTAACCCCCTCCGGCCTCGTTCTTGCTCCTGTCTTGCTCCCTTCTTGCTCAAATACACCATTCTTCTTCCTGCTTGGACTTGTGTGTGCTTTTGCTTCAACTTAGGATCATTCTGATTTTAGCAGAAATTGCATCTTTAGAGAACCATCTTCTAACATATCAGGTTAAACTAAGTCCTCTTAAAATATGTTCCCATTGTACATCAGACTTATAAAGCAATCACAATGATTATGTAATTATTATTTTTTCTTCACCACACTGGGATTTGTCATCACATAAATAGATCACATTCGAATAATGTCTTTATTCAACTTATATTCAAAGATAAGAATTCTCCAGTTTCCTAAACTAGCCTCTTGCCACGATGTCACCCATTTCTGTTTTTCTCCAACCGGCTTTCTTTGTATATTTTCTCCCGCAATTTAACACACTATTATTTTCTAAATGAATGATACCCGTTCTGAGACTTTCTAACTTCTAGGGAGAGATGAAGTGCCATGTAGGTGGTAGTACAGAATTCTGATTAATGTCAGTGTTTAACCATGGAGATAAAATGATACACATGAACCACATGTTCTCAGTACTTCCTCAACCTCAATACTTCCTCAATCTCTGTACTTCATCAAACACAATTACCAACATAAGAGTCAAGAAGTCTCTTAGACACCACCACTCCTGAGGAATCATGTACCTTAAGCAGCTGAGTTCAGTCTGTGTTACTACAGGCTCCTTTTGGTGTTACCCATTCTGCTTTCTATGTCCAAAACACTAAAACAAATAAAATGTCATTTTTGTTCAAAGGTCAGTTTATAACTATAAATTCTTTCTCTGCCCACACTTTCATGTAAATGTATAAATCTTTTAAATGACTATAGCTAAATGGATGACAGTGGCTGTCAGAGTTGGAATTTATTACCTTTTAAGTTTTTGTTTTAATTTTGAATGTTGTTTATGTGTCTGTCACAGGGCATGTCCACATGAGTGCAGTTGCCTGTGGATACCATAAGAGGTTTTTTGTTTGTTTGTGTGTTTGTTTGTTTGTTTGTTTGTCACTTGGAACTGGAGTTACAGGTGGTTGTGATCCACCCAACATGCGTTCTGGAAACCAAACTGTAGTACTATTGCAAAAGCAGTGTGTACTCTTAACCACTGAGCAATTTTCCTAGTACCTGATCATTTATTCTACATGTTATGACTTGGGCCAAAAGTCAGCACTAAAATTTGGAATTTGATCCTGGCTTTATCTTTCAGGGCCTGAAGCATGGTGCAAGGCAATGGCACCTTGGGTAAACGAGATGCATCATCTGGCATTTGTGTTCTAGAACCACAGGCTTTGTGTCTAAGAAAATCAGCAACCTGAAGACAGTAGAATTCTAATTACAAATCCTTGAAAGTAGACTAGAATGACTGCTCCATTTAATTCTTGTATGCTCAAGAGTTTAAGGAAACAGGTAGATGGGGCATCTCATTTATATGAATGCAAAAATTAGAGTTCTCTCTTGTATATTATTCTTTTCAGCATCCTTTCTGGGGGAAAAAGAACAAGCATTTAAATTTGTATGTGCCATGAAAATGAAACATACACACACATTTGAAAATATGTGTATATGTGTATATAAATAGGAATAAATTAGGCATATGTAGATATATGCATATATTCTTTGTGAATACTAGAAATGATAAAAAAAGTTGTTTAAGCAATACTGCTTATTTGCATGGTAAAAGAGAAAATGAAAGTTCTAAATGAATACATGGGGAATTGTTCAGTCTTGCAAATAATCAAATAGATGCAAATTAAAACAATGAGGTTACATTCCATTGCTATCACACAGAAAAACAGTTTTAAGAATAAATCATAGATGCCAATGTCAATGAGATGCCAGTGCAACTTATAAAAGGAGTGTCTGGTGTGATTCCAATTTAGATTGATCCATTTTGAAAGCAAGAAATCAATGTAGTAGAGAAGTAAAGAGAGTTCACTAAGCCAACCTCTCCGACTTTGCTCTGACTCCTATTTTTCTTTCAATTAAAACACTGATTGCATTCTTAAATATAATGATTAAAATTGCAAAATTACTAAAATGTTCAACATGTGTTATTGTTTGATGTAGTTTTAGTGTGTTCTTAATGGTTCCTATTTTAGAAGCATATCCCTTGGTGTGATGATGTTACTTGCGTGTATGTTTTGACCATTTGGTATTAGACAACCAGCCAGTGTGTTCTTCCCTGGGGAAGACAGTTCTCTCACTCTCAGCATTCCTTGGCTAATTGTAGTTGTTTGTGTAGACTGAGCAGGTTATTTTTGTGTATTTAGGAATATGCAAGTGTATACATACATATATATTATGTATATTATATATATTATATATGTGTGTGTGTGTATGTGTGTATAACAATGAAAAAAGAGGCCACGAATTTGAAAGACAGCAGGAGAAATCTATGGAAGTGTTTGGAGGAAGGAAAAGAAAGGGGGAAGTAATATTATTATATTATACTTTCAAAAAATAAAAGAAACAATTAAAAACAAGAGATGGCTGGGTCCTTAAGATTATGGGAATATAGTGCTTTTCAGGATATCTTGAATTAGTTCTTGTGAGACTACCTTGTAACCAGTGAGCTTCTCCTAATCATCTGTTTCCTGTCTCCCATAATCTCTTCATCTTATAGATATTGCCACTATATTGATCGGTCTTCAATCTGGAAGTGATTGAGTCATGCTGTGGGATATCTCACTGTATGTTGTGAATATGTGTTGCTCTGATTGGGTGATAAATAAAGCTGTATTGGCCTATGTCAGGGTAGGATAGGTTAGGTGGGACATTAGAATTGAACAGACAGGAGAAGAAAGGAGAGTGAGGGGAGATGCCAGTCTGAGGCACAAGGAGCAATAAGATGCCTGCAGACAGGTAATGCCACAGCCATGGGACAACATATAGATTAATAGAAATGGGTCAAGTTAAGTTATAAAAGCTAGCTAGCAAGAAGCCTGACCCATAGGCCATATAATTTGCAATTAATATTAAGCCTCTGAGTGATTATTTTATAATTGGCTGTGGGACCACAGGGCTGGATGGGACTGAGAAACATATGGCTACATTTTGGTACCCAATCTGGGGCACAAAACCACAACCCTGAGATTAAGAGTCTCATGCTCTACTGACTGTGAAATGTAGCCAGAAATTTCTCTGGTCCTGCTTAGCCCTGCAGTCAAGACAAATCTCTCCCACTCACATCCAGCAGCCTCTTAGTTCCAAGTAAATACACAGAGGCTTATATTATTTACAAACTGTATGGCCTAATGGCTCAGACTTGTCTCTAGCTATCACTTACAAGGTAACTCAACCCATTTCTATTAATCTATTGTGGGCCCCAGCCCCCGACTGTGAGTGGCTGCCTCCTTGCTTGCTGACCTTGACCAGAAGTCCTCCCTATTCAGATTCCCTGCCAGTTTCCTTCTCACCTAACAATCACCAGAGAGATCACCGGAGGTTCTTTGTACCTGTATCCTGCATTTGGTGTAAACAACTTAGATGCAAGAAAGTAGAACATTGGGTAGCGAATTTCTGCCCTCCGACGATCCTCTATTGTGCTGTAAGTCTGTATTTAAGGTTTCTCCCCTCTTTCAATAAACGGCATTTGACATTTGGCATTCGGCATTCAGCCGTGGCGAATGACTTGCTGTCTCTTGTCTCTATTTTTAATCCACAGCCCCTCGCTCGGACATGGTGAACGGGTATCGGTAACGTGGGCGTTACCGCAACATTCTATATGTTACCATATGGCTGTGGCGTTACTGGTCTATAGGCATCTTCTTGCTCCTTGGGCAGCAACCTGGTATCTCCCCTCACTCTCCTTCTCCTGTCTCTTCAGTTCTAATGTCCCACCTAAACTATCCTGCCCTGACATAGGTCAATACAACTTTATTTATCACCCATTCAGAGCAACACATATTCACAGTGTACAGAAAGACATCCCATAGCAGAGCCATGAGGACCCTTGACAGGGGCAGTCCTCCTGTGTTTGGAATTTTTACTTCTAAAATCATGAACTATATAGGACTCTTTTCTTTGTCTAAACTCAAGCATTTAGCTATACTAACAGAATAGGAATGACACATTGTGATAAGACTGCTCATTGGTATAGATATACTAAAACTTGGTGGCTCCTGGGGAAAAAAAAGTCACTTTATCTTTGGGGAGTTGTCATTGGTAGTTGCTCATGTCCCAGGGGTTGATTGAACACATTGGCAGCACTAACAGAACACAAAGTGTTGAAAATAAGAAGAAAAAAGAGAAAATAAGAAGTTTTTTTCTTTAATGTTGTAACAAGGACCAAAGAGATGGATCATCATTTATCATGGCTTTCCACCAAGACTGGTGACGTGAGATCCCAGGAACCCATATGCCAGAAGGAGAGAACCAACTACTGAAAGTTGCTCTTTGACCACATATCCATGGCACATGGGTATCACACACACACACACACACACACACACACACACACACACACACACACTAAAAATTTTAAATGTTGCAATTCTGTGTAAATGAATATGGAACACTATCATTTAAAAATCAGATTATAAAACCTCATATCCCTATGGAAAACACCTAAAAAATACATTTGCCTGTAAATGGTTTTGTTTGTTTTTACTTTTTGCACTTTGGGGACCCACCACCTAGCTCTCAAATAAATAGACAGAGATTTAGTCTTACTTTTGAATGTGCAGCCTTAGCTTTGCTTATTTCTAGTAAGCTTTTCTCAACTTAAATTATCCCATCTACCTTTTGCCTCTGGGCTTTTACCTTTCTCAATTTTATATACTTTTCTTTCCTTCTTAACTTGTGATTGGTTTTCTGGCTGGATGTCTGGCCCTTAGCGTCCTCTCTCCTCCTTTTCTCATTCATCCCTCTTCTTCTATTTATTCTCTCTGCCTACAAGCTCTGCCTATTTTTCTCTAGCTATTGCCTTTCAGATCTTTATTAGACCAATCAGGTATTTTAGTTAGGCAAAGTAACAAACACAGCTTTACAGAGTTAAACAAATGCAACATAAAAGAATGTAACACATCTTTGCATCATTAAGCAAATATTTCACAGCTTAAAAAAT